TGTGCTGCTGGTTGAGAGTAACATGGGCAGCAGGTCTCACCTCCCAGCACACACTGCAAGAGCCCAGTGGAATCCAGTCAGGTTCAGGGAGGCTGCAAAAGGAGATTGCACAGACTTTGGTGGGACTTGACAGCAGATGGAGGTAGGGGTGGGGTTGATCCAGGTTTGATGGGCATGAAGGAGCTGGACCTGGGACCGAAATATTCTAGGGGAGATGAGTAGTAGAATAGAAGTTGTGGATCTGGGATCCTGCACAGGAAATAAGTATGTGCGGTAGGAAAGTGGGAGTAGGGGACTGAGATATTAGTGATGGGGTGGAAGGCACAAACATAGTAAAGGAATGCAATGTGGACAGTGTGGGTGTACCTACTCCTATGCACACTGGCTTGCAAAGGATTCTCCAGAATCCCTCCTTTTGGTCCAAGGTACCCTGAATGCTTTCTTTGCATCTTAGCCTCAGGATCCTTGGTGCAGTGGCACCTCTCATGAACCCACCAGCTTGTCTGGAAAGAGGGTCTATGCTGCAGTCACCTATGCTGCAGTCACCTAGCTGTATTGAAGCCAGGAGAGAACTGATGTGCTCCAGGATGTTGTCTTGGTGGGGAAGAATCAAGCCATTTGCAGACTGTGGGGTGCCTGGTGGGACCTGACCCATGGTTACTCTCATACTCATTTGCTGGTGTCAGCAAAATTCCCACTGCTAATAGCACCTAATCCCAAATAACCCTAATCCCAAATAATGCCTTGCAGTCTCTACTTTCTAAACTAAATCCAGTGTCTCAACCTTGTCCTGCCTCCAGCCCTCATATAGGGTAACATCATGTACAACCACCAAGACTTTCCACTTATGGTCTCTTCTGCCTTCAGGCAGGTGTTCTCCAGGAGGGGAAAAGACTCTGCTGGAGTGGGCTGCAGAGGTGCCTGATCCCATGAACAAAGGATTACAGCTCTGGCCTGGACATATGGAATGTATCTACTCTTCCTGTTGAATGTCCAGGTTAGTCTTGCAGTTGTTGTATATTCAGCAGCTCCAGGTTTTAATTATTGGTGCAGTATTCCCACCTGCTTTGTGGAGTCCCAGCAGCCTGTCTGAGAAAGGCATCTGGTCATCTCCAAAATGTCATCTCAATGCTTACAGGGAGCTTTGCTGGTGACCAAAGTGTTCTCAGAAACAAGGAGACCTGCCAAAGCAGACCTCCCTCCTCGAATTAGCAACCACCAGCATTTTATACCAGGCATAGCATGGAAGTCACTCTGTTCCTTCTGATCTTCATTTTTCTTGCCTGGGACAAATGCCCACAAGTGTCCTTTCGTGTCTGAATTTTGACAAGGACATTCTCAGCAGCCTCTATTTGAGGCAGCTCCACTTTTCTGCTGCTTGGGTGGCCACAGTGCTGATACAAAGTGCACATGAAAGGCCCAGCCTGAGAGTATGTCCTGCTGCTATTGCACATGTGGAAACTGAATTCATTGCAAAGCAGAGAGACTCATGGGGAAAGAGACCCACTTTCAGTTTTGCCCCCCACTGCTGCTCTTGCAGGCAGAGACATTCACCTGAGTTGAATCAGCAGTAGGAGGTGTAGCCGGAGGTGTAGCTGGAAGGCTGCAGACTGTCCTGCTTATCAACCCAAACACAGGAACATGATTTCATGTCACAGGCTCTGCCTGGGCTGGCAGAAGCTGGTGCTGGCTGGGCACAGGTGAAATTTCAACTTCACCTGCTGTTAAGGGACATGGGGTCTGCTCCATGCTTTGTGACTTCTAAAAGCTGAGGGAAATCTCTTGTTCAATGTCATTTCTGCTGTAGTCAGTGGAGGCTGAAGATCCCTGACTAATCTGCTGGAAGTGTATTGTAGGTGTGTGATCCTAGACCCCTGACTTTTCTACCCTGGATTTGCAAACATTAACTTTACGTTTTTATTTTTAAACTTTTTTTACCTTTTCAGCTCATATTTTTCCACTCCTTCGGTAGGTGAAGTGACATGAAAATTCCTATGGGTAAATATTCAGGACACTTCTTAAATAGGCAGATATATCTTGTAGATCATTTGCTTTGCTATGTTGCAAATGTTGCATTTTGTATTGTGTGGTGTGAATTATGGATATGTGTTGCATATAGTCTGGGATAGGCTCCTACTTGTCACAGATGGCAAGATATAATCACACTGGACCAGATTTACTTCTCCCAATTCCTCAGCAGGGCTGGATTTGTTTGTGAAAGCAGTAATTTTGCACATTATTCCCAGTTATGGAGCTATCTGACCTAGAGGCAGAAAAGCAGGAGTTGTCATGATGATTGCTAAAATTCAGTCTCGGTCTTTATGTATAATGAGGTTGAAAGAGAATCACTTAGATGGCTGTAGCCTACTCTATTCCTTATCACCTGCTCAGCTGTCTTGGAAAATTAACCAGATGGAGCCAAACTGTCCTACAGCCTAGTGTGAAGAAACATGCAAAACTCCAAATCCAGATTCCAATCTGTTAGCAAATGACAAGTTTGGGTAGTAAAATGCCAAACTAAACCTTTGTATTCAAACAGCCTTCCACTTGGATGTTCAAAATCCTTGACTAAACTGAAGCTGGTTGCTGGGACACTGAGCAGCACTGTGGTATTTCTGGAAGTTGTCCATGGAAGCTTCCTCTAGAGCCTGAATCCACTAGATGCCAGAGGATGCTGGGAGCAGCATCTGTTTGGCCAGCTCTTGGTGTGAACCCCTGCTTGGTGGGATGAATTAGGCCCTTAATGGCTACAGAAAGAGTTTGGAAATAAAAGTTTATATTTACATAGTACATTTCATCCCAAAGGACCCTAAATCACACTGCACAAACTTTACATAAACAGCAGAAGCAAAGTGCGGCCACGTCAGGAATGGAGGGTGGCAGCCAGCTGGCATATGTTAGCAGGACGAAAATAAGCCAAGGGACTATTTTTGGCCAAGGACATCAGGGCAAACCCCTCTATTGCAAAAGTGCCTTCAAAACTTCAAAGTGTAGTTTTACTCCAAATAGTGATTGTGGATAAATAGATCCTTTGTGGTCAATTGACTTGTTCCCAGGCACATCTGGGGAATTCACTCACTAAAATAAGGATTTGCTACACATAATGCCTGCTAAGGCTGCAGAACTTCCTCACCCATGATAGCACATTTCTACTCCAACTCCAGTCCCATTCACATAATTGGAAGTCTTTCTTACACAGCCCTCACTGCTGAGAGTGGGAGACACAGAAAAAAATGCTCTGGCTTTCATAGCTGAACGTACCCTGAACAGACACATCTGGAAGTGCACATTCTCAGTTGTTAGCTAGGCAAATTTCTGGCTTGATTAGAAAACAAATTTCCACTATGCCCATCAAAGTAACTTTTCAGAATACAACTGGCCTTTAAATATCTATGTGGAGAGGCCAAGACATTTGAAGATCTTGCCCCAAAGCCCATCACGGAACAGGCTGTGCAGCATCTCTCAGGTCTCTTTGGGCTATTCAAACACTTAGCAACACTGAAAAGCATGGTTCCTTACAGCAATGTCACTGATGAAAAGCACAGGATTTTTACAGATAGGTATTTACTTTGGGGCCAGAAGGGTATCTATACCTACAGAATGTACTGCATCTCAGAGAACCCTGAATAATGCTATAGGATAAGTTGCTCTCTGGCAGCTGACGGCTACCTGTGAGCCTCCTCCCATATCTTCATGTTGTGCTGCAGCTGGATCCTGGCATGTCAGCCATCCCCTGCTCCAGTATCCACCCTCCCAAGCCATCCCATTGCACTGTCATGCCATTTAAGTTCTACTAGAGCACTCCTTGGCATGATTTTGTCTCCAGACTACAGTCCAGTTCAGTTTGGGGGATATGGACTGCTCCCCAGGAGGCAGGAGGGATGACAAGTGTTTAGTCATGCCACCTCCCCATGGGGCTAAGAAAAAAGCCCCTAGGTGCTGTAGGGAAGACATAAAGTCTGTCCATGACTTCTCTGACTCTGCAAGATAGAATCACAGAATGATTTGGGTTGCAAGGGACCTTAAAGATCATCTAGTTCCAACTCACATGCCGTGGGCAGGGATGGCACTCACCAGATCAGGTTGCTCAAAGCCCCATCAAACTTGGCCTTGAACACTGTCTGGGATGGGGCATCTAAAACGTCTCTGGGCAAACTGCTCCAGTGCTTCATCACCCTCTGAATAAAGAATTTCTTCCTAGTATCTAATCTAAACCTGCCCTTGTTCAGTTTGAAACTATTGCCCCTTGTTCTGTCACTATCTGCTTGTACAAAAAGTCCATCTCTCTCCTTTTTATAAGCCTCCTTTAGGTACTGGAAGGCCACAATGATGTCTTCCCAAAGCCTCATCTTCTCCAGGCTGAACAACCCAGCTCTGAGTCTGTTGTCATAGGAGAGGTGCTGCAGCCCTTCAAACACCTTCACGGCACTCTTCTGGACCTGCTCTAACAGACCCACGTCTTTCTTGTGCTGAGAACTCCAGAACTGCACACAGTATTCCAGGTATGGTCTCACAAGGGCAGAACAGAGGGGGAGAATCACCTCCCTTGACCTGCTGGCCACTCCTCTTTTGATACAGCCCAGGATATGGTTTGCCTTCTGTGTCACAAGCACACAATGTTCATCTCCGTCTTTTCATGCACAAGAACCTCCAAGTCCTTCTCCATGGGCCTGCTCTCAGTGACTTCTTCTCCCAGTGTGTGCTCATGTCTAGGGTTGCCCCCACCCAGATGCAAAACCTTACACTTGAACATTCTGAACCTCATGAGGTTCTCATGGGCCCACCTCTCGAGTTTTCCAGGTTCCCCTGATGGTATCCCATCCTTCAGGTGTGTCAACTGCATTGCTCAGCTTGGTGTCATCTGCAAATGTGCTGGTGGTCCATCCACTCAATCTCACTGTTTATGTTCACTGATGAAGACAGCACCAGTCCTAAGGGACACCACTTGTCACCAGCCTCCATCTAGACATGGAGCCATTGACCACAACTCTCTGACTGTGTCCATCCAGCCAGTTCCTTATCCACTGAAAAGTCCATCCATTGAATCCATTTCTCTCAAATTTGGACGTAAGGATGTCATGTGGGACCATATTGAAGGCCTTACAGAAGTCTAGATAGATGACATCTGTCAGTCTCCTCTTGTTGACTGTTGCAGTCACTCTATCATAGAAGGCCACCAGATTAGTCAGGCATGATTTGCCCTTAGTAAAGCTGTGCTGGCTGCCTCAGTTCACCTCCTTGTCTTTTATGTGCCTTAGCCTATCTTCTAGGAGGATCTGCTCCATGATCTTCCCAAGCACAGAGGTAAAGTTCACTGCTCTGCAGTTCCCCAGGTCTTCCTTTCTCCCCTTTTTCCCTTTTTCCAGTCACCAGGGATTTCACCTGACCACCATGACTTTTCAAATATGGAGGAAAGTGGCTTGGCAACAACATCATCCAGTTCCCTTAGAACCCTGGGATGCATATCATCAGGTCCCATAGACTTGTGAATATTCAGCTTCATCAAGGGATCCCGAACCTGCTCTTCACTTATAGTGGGAGGGGCTTCACTCCCCCCATACCTATCCAAAGGATCAGGGACTTGAGAGAAGTGGGAAGCCTGACTGCCAGTGAAAACTGAGGCAAAGAACTGATTGAGTACCTTAGCCTTCTCTATATCAGTCGTCATCCTTCTGGCTTATCAGGGCAGGTACACTCTCCTTGACTTGCTTTCTGACCTAGGTACTTAGAATCTCTTGTTATTCTTCATGTCCCTTGCCAAGTCCTGTTCCAGCTTTGTCCTGGCTTTCCTGACGACTTCCCTCCACATCTGAATTGTATCCCTGTACTCTTCCCAGGTCACCTGTCCCTGCTTCCACTGGCTGCAACCTTCTTTCTGACTCAATCTAAGGAGGAGATCCTTGCTCAGCCATGCTGGTTTCCAGCCTGCCTTGCTCCATTTCCTACACACCAGGATAGAGAGCTCTTGCACTCTAAGAAAAGGGGCCTTAAAGAGCTGGCAGCTCTGGTCAGCCCCTCTCTACTTAAGAACAGTTTCCCAGGGAATCTCATTCGCCTACTCCTTAAACAGCTGAAAGTTTGCTCTTGCAAAGTTCAGGGTCTTGACATTGCTCCTTGCCAGGCTCATGCTCCTTGAGATCACAGAACACAGATCTCAAGATCTATGCCTGAAGCATCCTGAGAGGATCTGAGAGTGAAAAAAGGGAAAAACAAAGAAGGAAATGTTTGGTGACTTCATTTGAGCTCTGAGAAATGTGGAAATGTGCAGGACAGCAGTGTGATGCTCTGGGAGGAGCAGAGGCCAAGGAATGCAAGACAGCTCTCTTCCTGATCAAAGAACCAGTACAAAAATGGTTTATGGAGGTGGATCCACCTTTGATGTTGTGAGCAGATTACAGAGCCATGTCACACTAGTTTCCAAGATTCCTAGATAGGAAAGCTGGTCTCACACACTGGAAGACTCTCCATGATGTGCCAAGAGCTCCCAACTCTGTATATGAAATCTCCCTTGTCCTTTAATTAAGTCCCTTTCCTTTGTTCTGTTTGCACAGCATTAAAGCACTGCATTTTCCAAGGGAGGGGAAAAGTTTTGTCTAATATTTGTAATTTTAAAGCTGAATTTTACTTTTTTTTTACATGCACCAGCATTATCCAACATGTAGTCCAATATATAAAATTGATCATGACCTAGAAAAAGCCTAGGCTTTTGGAATGATGCTGCAGGCAGGGAGGGAAACCCCACAGGCCAGCATTCAGGCACTCAAACTGGTTATGCACAAGTTCCACAATTTTATACATTCATGAGTGTACTCAGTCACTCTGAAACAAAATCTCACTGAGCAATAACACAGAGCCTTCCCCTCTTCTCTACCTCCTGCCTCCCAACACAGGGCCCTGCAGGGAAATATGCTGTGCTACTGCTGACGTTTCCCCCGAGCAGACTTGCATCCATGGCAGTATGAAAAATTAATAAAGGAGTACAGAGTACATTAACAAATGCTGACATATTTCCCACAGTTAATTGACATCCACCATTATATTTAAAATTAATAAAAGCTTGCCAAGCATGCAGAACTCGCACATCATAGCAAAGGAGATGTCCCACACAGCTCATCAGGTCATGTCATCATATCAGTTATGCTACATACCATAAATCACGACAAATATTCCTAGTATTATGTCAGGCCTGTATCCAAGGTGTTGTTCTTGGCATCAGTGTAGGAGGGCGGTGTGACACATACTCTGGAAATTGCCACTCTAATGGATGCAAGACAGCTGCTAAGACAGCCTGAAAGCATCTAAACCTTTGCTCTCCAGCTGACTTGAGTCCCTCTCTCTTTCTGGTGCAGCAAGGGGACAACCACCCTTTGTTCATGAAGCCCATCTGATGTCTCTATACAACTTCTGACAATGGGGACTACCAACCTGCCGCTGGTCCTGCAATCATTAAAGTCATTTATGGTCCAGATGTCCCACCAGTATCTTACTGAGCCCTACAGAGAGGGTGCAGGCAGAACCTTCTAGAAACTAAAGGAGAAACCCTGGAACTGCTAATGATGTTCTTAAGTGGGATGACAGTCCTCATTTTTTCAGCAGTGGAGGCAGGTGACAATCTGGTGAGTTGCACACACTGTAAAGCCAAGACCTCTGTAAATTTTTCTCAAGGCCTAAAGTTTTACTGGAAAGCTGTGGGACTTGGGGCACCACCAGTGCCATAGTCCAAGATGGGACTGGTCCAGGTGAGCAGGAGTGATCCTGTACTTGTGTGGTATGCCCCACTGAGGCCAGGGCTGCACCCAGTTGCCCATACCTGGTTGTATTCATTAACAGCAAGCCTTGGCTCAGGGATAACAACAGCAAGGGCTGTGCTGCCAGCCAAGCCAGTGAAATTAGGGACCCTTATAGGTAACACTAACAACACCCCAGGACCTGAGGACTTCCACATGCTGTTGTGATAACACCTTTTTGTATGGTGATGCCTGTCTCCTTTTGAGTAGACAGTCTGATGTGATGGCTCTCGGGTGAGCTACATGTGGAAAAGTGCCTTCTCTCACCTTTAAGCATGTCCTGTGGGCCAGTGGTGGCCCTTGGCATACTTGTCTCCCCTCTGACAAGTTCCTGATGAGGAGGGAAGATATTTGAAAGGCAGTTCTTGCAGAAGACCACCTTGCTAGCCATACTGAGCAACTTTTGCTCCTCCTCTGCATCTTTGTTCTTCTGGCACTGCTTCCAGCAAGAAAGAGGAAACTGGGAAAATGGCATCCAAAATTGCATGGGAGAGTTGTGCCTGGTTGGAAAACTTGCAGATGTCCCACACTGATATGCCAAATATCCTCACACTGATGGCCACCTAAGCCCAGTTGCCTTGGGGAGAGCTGATTTGTTCATAGTGATTCGTTGTGAACTTGAACAATACCACCGAAATGGTGAAATCACATGGGCTTGACAGTGTGAACATCTGGGTGGAAATCCGTGACTTTTGGCTATGCTGTCACCTGCCCCACTGGGTGCCATGGGAGCTATCCCACAGCCCAGCAGCTCCACCATGTACCGTGTCCTAGCTCACTCATTTGGGCTGAAGCATCCTCCCTCCATTTCTCCAAGCATAAAAAAATGGCTTGGGAAGTAAAAACCCTGTGTTCAATTGGAGACTGCTCCCACATACTAGTTTATATGAAGCAATTACATTGTGACACCACACTTGAAAGTAAATTAGCCAGCTCTGAAGAGAGTTTCTCCCCATATCTCAGCTGAGAATTGGATCCATACTTTTAAGGGATCTACCAACTCTTCATTTAGGCTGTGGGGCTACCTCCTTGAAAAAGGTATCAAGCTCCACTTTGATTTTCAGTTTCTAGTCTCTACACAGGGGCTGAATCAAAGTAACTGAAATTGTGGCTTTGATTCACCAGAGCTGGCTTAAGGTGCAGTTTCATGGGCTTCCTCCTATTTGTTATCACCTCCCTGGCAGAGCTGGTGGACCTGGATGAGTGTGTGTGTGTCCCTCTCTGGGCTTTGATGTTCACAGCTTCCCAAGACAGTATTGAAACAAAAGCATGTCTAATCAGGAATAATGGTGAGAGCTGATGAATTTATATATACCTTGAAATGCTCCCATTCTGTTCTCCAGGATAACATGCTCAGTATTCTGGTTTAGCAGTGTTTATCATACCCTGATCCAGTTGTTTACATCATACTTGGTAATTACCTTCACAGAGCTATTTGGTTGTTTCTGGGGATGACATAATCTTTGCTTGTACCACTTGCCCACACAGTTTGCTGTATTGAAGGGCTATGGAGTACTTCCTCTGGTGATTTTATTTCATTGGATCTTTAGAAAAAGCCATAGCTATTTTCTAATCTAGCCATGCCCAGAACTTTTGTCTCAGGGAAGAATATGAGGACAGCCAACTTCCTTCCATTAAAGAAGTCTCTCAATGTGCAACTATAGTTGAGACAGATTAATTCAATCTCTGCTTGCTACAAAATGTGCTCATGCACTACTTAGTCTGAGAAAATGAGGGGGCAAAGGTTTAAACAAACCTTAAGGCCCCTCTTCAGATATGTTATTTCCCAGAGGTCATGAGGGTTTTCATTGTAGCCCACGTCTCATCGGTTTAACCAAAGATGCAGTGTTAGCTTGGGATGGATGAACTGGTGTGTCTTGAAGCATTAACGTGTCCCATCACAGTCCTCTGGCGTGTATGGGTGCAAGCAGGGTCATATAAGGCCCCTTGTGCATGATCTGGGTGGTAGAAAGGGGCCTAGGCAGGGGTAGGACAGTTTTGTTTCAAATCTGATACCTGGTCAGGGAATAGGAAGAAGATGCAATCATTTAACTATGGTCTTTCTCTGCCAGAGAGGTCCATAGTTGGAGGCATTGCTGTGAAGTAAGTGGGTCACCAGAAAGGGTCTAAGTGACATTTTTTCCAAGTTCTGATATTTACTTGCTAAGTGGGTGACCTTCATCAAATCAACCACCTACTCAATGCTATTGGTGCAGTGTCTGTGCTATGGGTGTAAAACTATCCTACCTCCAAAACCCCTTTGAGACCCACCAGTGGGACATGATATCTAAGGCCTTTCTTTGTTTCTTCTGCCTGAACTTTGACTTCATTCTTATCAGCAGATAAAAAATCACAGGATGAGACAGAGCATGCTCCCTTGCTCTTCAGCCATCCCACAGTCATAAGGCTTTGGCATAATGCAGGGGGTGTGGGAGAGGAAACGTTTCAGCTCCCTGGCGATGTGGAAGCAGCTGTGCTGACTGACACAGACTGACAATCCTTGCTGCTACGTTTGAGGGGAACCCTTCTCAGGTGCTTAGTCAGTGCTTGTGCTGGTCATCATCATCCTGCAATGAGCTGGCAGAAACAAACCTCCCTATGCCCCAGTTTGTCTGAGGCGAAAGTCCAGTGTCCTCCCACGAGTGGCTGATGGAGGCAGGTGTGTGGGAGGCTGCCTAGTTTTTGCACAAAGCCAGCTGAGATGAGCACTCACAGTGAGGGACACCAACTCTGCTGGGAGGGACAGACCTGTGGCAGGGGATGGGAACAGAGAGCTAAGAACCTGTGAAACCACAGCTTGAACTGGCTCTGGGAAAGCAAATCAAAGCCATGATACAAGTTAAATTGGTGCAGCTTCTGTGTTCAGCTGAGCCCTCTAATC